GGCAGCTCTTTCAGTCCCTGATCCAGGACGTCCTGGGGAAGACATTTGCTTCTCTGTCCACCATCCAGGGGAGAGGCATGGGCTGGGGTACGGTGGAGGGTGAGTGGGGCACAATCAGACTGGAAACGGGACACCTGGCTCCACCATCCTCTCTCCCCTCACTAGCCACCAGGAATGGCCCTTAATCTCTACTGCAGCGCTTCTCAATCTGTGGGTCACAACCCCCAGGAACTGTATTAAAGGGCCGCAGCATTAGGAAGGTTGAGAACCACTGCTTCAGTGGGTCCCTGGCCATTCCCAGGAACCCACTAGAACTTGGGGACATCTGCCCAAGACCTGGGACTCACCCTGGCCCAATTTGGGTCCAGATAGACAAGGGCCATTCCCAGGTGTCAGGAGCAGACAAGGTGCCCGTGGCTTAACGACAGGGAAGAGTCTCATGGAGCTGTTTGCACCTGACTCTTGGTGTGCAGCTACACACCTCCCAGGTCACAGGCGGAGGCGAACGGGGACAGGTCGAAGGCCGTGACCACCTGGCGTGTGGTCAGCTTGCCGAGACTGTGCATGGCCCCCACAAACTGCAGCTTGTCCTCTCTGGTCTGGAGGGAGGTGTTCTGGAAAAGGGGGAAGGGTCTGAGCAGGCACTGCGGTGGGCCCAAGGGTCCATGGGCTCCCCTACTGTCCTCAGGGCCAGGGAGGGGGCTTTGGGAGCTCTAGGGGGTGGGGGCTACATTGTGGGGCTGGGCTGGGGAGGAGGTTTGTGGCCCAGCTATGTTGGCAGAGGTATCTCCCCTTGGAACACCCTGGTCTCCACTGTACCCTGTATGCCAAGGTCTGGGTTTTCCTGACAACACAGGTGCCCATGGTGGAGGGTCCTGGCTACAGGAAGAAACCCAGGGACAGAGAATCACCAAGTCCCCCCACAGACCCGGTCAGCTGTCACCACATTGGTATGGGTGGATCCAGGTGGCTAGCTCCTCCAAGCTGCACCAACCCCAACGCTCACACCCACCTGGGTCCCAGGTAGCTCAGGCCCATCCTGCCCCAGGGCTGCCCCCAGCCAGGTCTCCCCTGGGGGCCCCACACACACATGGACGGCTGTCTGGGCAGGTCCACCCTGAGCTGGGTCTGGGCATGACCCCAGCTGCTCAGCCCTTCTTGATCCACCCTTGCCAATTAAACTCCATGGGGAGCCAGGTGCAGTGGCTCAGCCTGTAATCCCAGCACTCTGGGAGGCCAAGGCTGGATGGTCTGAGCTCACGGCTTTGAGACCAGCCTGAGCAAGAGCCAGACTCCGTCTCTAAAAATAACCTGGCTTTGTGGTGGGCACCTGTAGTCCCAGCTACTCAGGAGGCTGAGACAAGAGAATCTCTTAAGCTCAAGAGTTTGAAGTTGCTGTGAGCTATGACACAACCATACTCTACAGAGGGCAACAAAGTGAGACTCAGTCTCAAAAAAATAAAATAAATAAGTAAATAAAGTCCATGGGGAGCTGGATGTGGGGGGCTCATGCCTGTACTCCCAGCACTTTGGGAGGCTGAGGCTGGTGGATTGCTTGAGCTCAGGTGTTCGAGACCAGCCTGAACTAGAGTGAGACCCCTGTCTCTAAAAATGGCCAGGCAGGATGGT